TTGTCGATTCGTCGGCCTTTGACTCAATTTCAACTCATTCCCCATACTTAACCTAAAAGGCTTTAGCCTTGGTGGTTTTTACTGTTTGTTAAGGGTTTCACCCGGACTTTCATTGAATTGTCATTTAACAAAGGTACTGAGTATTTAATTGAGATTGGTTGGACTGGCAGTTGGGGCTTGCATGGCTAACGCGAAAAGGTATGAGCATAGAGAATGGTTGGGGTTGACTCCGTGTACTGCGTGTTTTGTCGCTTGATTCTTGGTGTGGTTGCATGTATGTCCTGTAGCTCGGATTTTGAATTTGGACTGCCTGCGATTCCATATACATATACATGGTTGTGAGGAGTCCCACTATGCCTGTGAGAAGTTATCGTCATAACTCTATCCCCCCTTCCGTATGTATGCGTGGATATACATATGATGAGTGTTCGGGAGGCCAAAAAGGCCATGTTAGCAACTGCGTGAGAGTTGGGATTGAGGGACAGGGAAGACCTTCCCTGCTGCCTATTTTGCGTCTTGGGGCTTTCTTAGTCGGATGTTGGTCCTGGGCCGGGATTCGAGGTCCTTGTCCAGGACATCCCAAGCCCTAGGCCCTGAAGAGGAGGAGTCTCCCCTTGCATGGAGCCTATTTACTTTGGCCGGCGGGACACTCCACCTAAAAGGTGGGAACGTCGCGAGGGTCGAACGGCGTGTCCTTCAGCCGTTCAGTATCGTGAGGGATAACCCCTCCCGATGAGTTCCTTCAGCCATTCAATATCGCGAGGCCTAAGTCGCGGTTACCACATATGATTGGCATCAGTGGTTGGCATAAGGTTGGCCTGCGGCCGCACAGTTTTATATCAGAGCCCTGCGCGAGACGCCTCTCCGCCCCGGCGTCTAAAAGTTATGGGACCGTCAGGCTTGCGCGTAGGCGCCGCGCTTGGGATTATTATAGGTCGCCGACACCGCCCATGGAGGGGAAGCGCGTCCCAAGGCCATGAGTTTTTGTTTTAAGGACCAGGAGACCTTTGCCCTATCCCCTCTTTTTGGGTTCATGCGAGTTTTGTTTGCTCTTAGAGATTTTTATGGTTGGACGTTGTAGTCCGTGGCAGCCGTCAAAATCAAACCCCTTGACTTTCGCCCAGGCCCCAGGGAGGACTCACCCCTAGGGCCGCGAGAGATGACTACCACCACAGGCATGGGCCTGTGTACCACCCACTCTACATAAGGGTGCAGAAGAGGGTGTGTGGTCTTCAACCGCGCATGTCGGTTGTCCAGCGTCGAGAGATTAACCCTCAAGGCGCGTGTCAGCCGACACTTGAGTGTCGAACGCGACCCTCGAGATTAACGAGGACCGCACGAGTATGGGTACCACGTGGTACGCCATCGTTGCGACCGCTTGCGTGCGCTTGCATCGCGAGTCGATATGAGTTAGCCTTGCGTCTGCGCGATTTTTATATTAAGTCTCACGCGCGACGCCTATCCGATTTCCGCGTCGGGAAGTTATGGGTTGGCTACCGAGGGGCTAGGAGCGTTGTCGCGTTGTTTGCGTTGCGTCGTTCTGTGTGTATGTGTGCGTGTTGTTGTCGTGTGGTTGTTAGAGTGGTGTGCGCGTGGGGTGTGGGATGCGTCCTAGTCGACTGACGACGAGTCGCCCTTGGGACTTCAGCCCCCGAAGATGTCGATTCGCGTGCGGGTCCGATAGGGGCATATTTACCGCTCGTACCCCCTATGCTACAACGAACGAGAAACGCCCTCAGCTGGTCCACCTCTGCGATTGCAACTGATTAGCTTTCGTATTGTGGGCTGGTAGCTCGGCGGGGATATGCCCACCGATGGGAGGTGACAGCTCCCGTAAGGTGGAGGTAAGTTGTGCCTCGCGTAGGCCCTATCCTGTCGTAGGGGCTCGCGAGAGGTATGGCTGGCGCACTCGGCCGGAGCGGCCTAAGGAAGCTTCATTTGCGTGTTATGTCGAGGTTGATCCAACTCTTGCGTGACGCGGCCGAGAGGGTCCCGCGCCGCCGCATGCGGTGTCGGGCCGATGCGCTCGACAACGTTCAGCGATGTTGAGCGTACGACTCTCGAATCTCAGTGGTCTCTCCTTACCATGGGCGTCCTTTTGAGAATGCAACCTTCCAACTGAACACGGCCCAACATCCGTAGACACTATGAATGGTTTGTTGGTCTCGTCCTCGAAAAATGACACGCCTAGGATTTGTCCCCCTTCTTTAAATTCTTCCTTGAGGGTTTGCACTGCAAGCTCCTGAGGAAAATCTCAATAAAAACCACTCCGTTTTCCTAAGGAGAGTTTGCAAAGGTTCTGCATTCTCCGTGTATCCACGTGTGAAAATTCTCCAATAGCCTACAACTCCTAAGAATTGGCGGACTTCGGTAACGCTATGCAATGGAATCGGCCAGTTAAGGAGTTTTTTTAGCTTTCCCGGGTCCGCTCGGCGCCCTTTCGAATCACACATGAACCCTAAAATCTTAATCATCGATACTGCCCACCGACTCTTCGTCCCACTGACCGTTAGGCTAGCTTCATCTAGCTGTTTCAGAACCGCGTAGATGTCCGTTAGATGTTGCTCTATAAATCTCCTGACACCAGGGGCAACCTCCGTCTCATCTTTTAATACAAGCTCTTTTATCGGAAAGTCGTCCAGAAAGACTTCAACTTTGTCAGGTATGAAGCCTTTCATAACAGCTACCATAGCCCTTTGGAAGATAACAACCCCATTGGTCCACCCCATGGGCACGACCAGCGTTGTCACGCGGGGATCCCCGGGGCCCAAGCCGCGGTAGGGGTTTCAACCCCGGAACCCTGCCGCGGGGCTACCCGACCCCCGCCCCCGCAAAAACAACCCCGGCCCTGCCCCAACCCCGCCACCCCCGCTCCCAGCCCAAACCCCC